TAAAATATTGATCTATATTTCCAAGCAGTCTAGAGTCTTTTTCTGAACTACAAAAAGCAAATGGAACTTAAAATTTGGTATTATTGTTCCTTCACTAATATATACTATATCATAAACTTGTATATTGAAGACAAAATTGTCACTCTTTTATCAATGAAAAACAAAATCGGATCATATACATCTTATCTGCTGTAAGTACAGCAAGTAAGGTGCAAGTTGGAACTGCACAAAAAGAGAAGTCAATCACGTGTAAAGCTTATGCCATGTCAGATGAAGACAAAATGCCTCAAATAACCAATTTAACATTTACAAACACTCTTCTTACCCAATCACTATAAAGGGATTTGCATTCTTCAATCTCTGTATCATTTCTCTGTTGGCAGTGAACTAAAATTAAATGTATTTGTAATTATTTTGTGGAATTACTATCATAAACTAACCCTCGTGCCATAGCCTTCAGGGAGAGGGAGAAAGAGAGAGAAAAATTACTTGGCAAGCAATTATTCTTTGGCTGTCATGAGAATGAGAGTAGAGATAGGGAGAGGTATAGTAATTTCACAAGAAAGTGCAGAAGGATATCCAGGGTTACCTTAAAAAAGATGAATGTTTATAATAATTGAACTGCATTAATAATTTTAACTGTGTTAGTTTTATCTTTGTATAAAACAAGGAGACTGTAAACATGATTCCTTTTATACATATTAATAAAGAGTTAAATAGAAGAACTCCGCGATAGAACATGGTATTCTCTGGGGCTAAAGTGTAAAAGTAAGTCCTTTGGTTTCTTACTTCAGTTTTGACAAGATTGTAGAAAAATAGTGGTTCTGAATAATGTATGTGCTTTATTAATGACTCGGAAACTTTCCATCTAAAAGAAAATTTTAAAATCCAACCTCTAGGAGTATGTAATACTCTGACAAAGCTTAAAACGAGTTTTAATTGTGTGCTAAAATTGTTGCTTCAAAAAAGAAAAGTATGCAATAAGAGAATGATAAATCAGAGTACAATATCCTATTCAATTCCATCAACATACCTCTATTTTCTGTCTTATATTTTAGATAATGTGTAAATATAAATGCAAAGAAAGAGAGAATTCTTACATAGAGGAGACTTCAGGAGGAGGGGAAAGAGAAGGGTTGGGGTATTTCTCTTCAATAATACCCACAATCACATCAGAGTCTGCAATCCATTTCTCATCGAATTTTATCATTGGCACCTTCCCTTCTGGATTCACTTCCAAGAACCTAAAACCCACAAAAAACCAAACCCAACAACACATTCTCATTATTATAAACAATAATCAAAATGGATGTTTTGAAAAGATAATACAAAAAAAAAAAAAAAAGAAGGTTTGAAATTTAGTTAGTATTACCATTGGGGCTTGTCAGTGAAGTTGATAAGATGCGTCTTATAAGGGACTTTCTTTTCTTCCAGAATCAGTTGCACCCTTTGGCAGAATGGATCTTAAAGTTTCAAAAAAAAAATAAAAAAAAAGATTTCATTTCTACAGTCTTGTGCGTGCAAAGAAAGAAAGAAAGGGATGAAGAAAGAGTGGATTACAGCCATGGCTCATAGTTGTTCACTTTCATCACAAGACCTCACAAATCCATAGCCCTTTGTGCATCCAATTATCTTATCCTTACCGTACTGAACAATAGAAGGTGATGATTTATCGTTAGTAACCCATATGACCCAAATGCGTTTATTTCCAACAAAGGAGATGTGAACCTGCAAATGGCCATTTTCACCAAAAAATTTAGAGAAATCAATCGGGCATTGTACTAATAAAGCAATTCCATCAAACAAATTTCTTAGCATTTCTTTATTTTGAAGTTTAAGATGCTCATATTTAACAAATCATTCTTGATATTGTTAAATAGACTAACAGAGACTCCAACACACTCACCATAGAATGACATTCGAAGCCTAACAAATCAAACTTTAATCTAGTCATTACAGAGTTCAATCGAGCAATAATTCATTAATTTTACAACTGTTAATGCCTAAAATTCCTGCACACTCAAATACCTTAAAATCTTGCAAACCTATTACTACATATACTGCCTCTAAACACATTCACTTTCTTTCAAGAATTGAGAAATAACGATAAACCATAAACAATTAATAATTTGAAACCCACAAAAAACAAAGGAACTAATTTTTTTTAAAAAAAACAATGAATCTTAAGTGAAGTTCAAATTTTTCCCTTAACTTCTCTCATAATAAATATTAACAATTGACCAAAAACAAAATACTAAGAAACGATTTACTCTTTTTTTTTTTTCTAAAATCTGGTGAGAAGAAGGCTTTAGATTCCATGGAAAATGAAGGAACAGTGAAAAGGGGTAAGCCTCTTTTTCAGGTAGAGGGGATAAATTTCGATGTCAATACACATATTTCCATATATACACATAATTACGTATATACACATAGAGAGAGTGAACAACCTTAAATGGCGGCTGATTAATGTTAAAATTGTTGTATGAGGATCTGAGGGCTTTCATTTTTCCCAATGATTTCCCTCTTGTTAGCTTCTTTGATTCGACGAACAGATCTTGCAAGAAATTAGAGAAGTTTAGTAAGAAAATCAGGGGACAAAGGGGAGGGTCGATTACCTTTCTTCCAACGATTAGAGTAGGCGAAAAGCAGAGAATGGAAAGAGAGGAAAAAGAACCAAGCCGGGATTTTCCTGGCGAGGCTGGAGTCCCGGGGTTGCTGGCTGAGAAGAAAATCGTCGTTCTAGCACGTAACCCCGTCAAAATTACAGATGAATCCAACGGAAGAATTCGAGAAATTCCACGAATTAAGCTTCCCTGTGACGCCAAATTTCTATGGCTTCGAGAGAGAGAGAGAACTGAAAGGGAACGTGTGAATGAAGAGAGAGAAAGCTAAATACACACTATGGGTAAGATATTTTGAGGGGGAGGGTAGATAATTGTGACTTATTTGTAATTGATACATTGTATCGTATTTAGATCATTCCTTGGATAGATAGTCCATAATTTCTCTCCTAATTGACAGATTATTTTCCTTTTCCATCGTATCGGTTGTAATATAAATATAGGGATGTAAAATTGTAAATCAACAAGAAATACAGAATTCCTCCTTATTGTCATTGTAATTGAGAAAGCAACAAGTCCACAAAGCATAAAATAGGCAAAGCATCCTCGACACATTCTGGATGCATTTAATGAGACATGATAGTAATCAAATAAGTCATGAATGACTTATATCACCATAGAGGCAAAAGCTTTCTCATGTCGTCTGTCAATCACATATAGTTCGCCTACAGCCTAACATGGTGAAGTTTTTAAACAATGAAAGAAAATATTCAATTTGATAATGTAAAAGAATCAAATTTCACAATCATATATACGGTATTAAAATGGGAAAGAAGCCAGCAATATTAACAAATTTGATGCATAATTTAAATTTAAAAACATATACATTATATATAAATCTAAACATATTAAGAAAAATGACATGTAGTCAAATTTGCAGTAGAGAACTCCTTCCACAGGTCCTGAAATCCAGTGAAGAAGTATTCCATTCTGAATTAAACATTACTTGTACATTTAAGAAAATGAATTATGAAGTACAACAATAGAATCAAAGAGATAAATAAAGAAGGTAGGTAAAATTCGGGGAGGAAGAACATTAGAACCCAAGAGAAGCTAAGAGAAAATCCATGAAGCGGAAGTCCAAATGGCCTAAAGTTTTTAAGTCGCCAGCACAGCAAAAGGATTATCCTGAAACTAATGTTATTTAGGTAAAAACCATTAAAATGGATGAAAGCATACAAACACAATGTTCTAGAGATATTTCTATAAAAGCCACAACTCTCTGTGATTATGACTTCTTAAAGGACAAAGATGAAGATGATGTTGTTATCGACAAAGCACATAAGGACAAGCAGGGGAAAAAAACACCAGATTCCAATATTTAAGAGGAACAAATTACCAATTCAAAATGAAGTTCAAATAGTAACGTACATAAAAGTTTTTCTGGAATTTAGGCCTTGTATGGGAGGGATTTAAATCGGATTAAAATTGAAAATATAGCCGTTATTGTTGACTTTTATTAGACGGGTGGGGTCCAATAACGGTCATATTTTCAATTTTAATTGGATTTTAATCACTCCCGAACGGGCCTTTATTAACCATGAAAGAAACATAAGATCTCCTTGTCAATAGTTGAAAATAACCAAATGCATAAAATTTTGACTAATTCAAATTTCCATATCCCACGAAAAGAGTAACACCACCATTTACAAACTGGAAATTGCTCAGGTTTGCATCATATTGGATCACACTATTCAGTTCCTTTACATAAGTAATTATTTCAGTAATCAACTCAAATGTTCTTCAGTAAACACATACATATTGAGTATGTACTACCAACTTTACAATAATGGACATCCTCTTCAAGAATACAGGAAATTGAATTAGAAACAAATCTTCACCAAGTATACAAATGCTGACCACATCTTTTATCAATTAGAAGAATGATTGCAAAGAATACAATAGAATTTAAATAGAAAAATATCTTAAAGGATTACAAGAGGAATGTTATATCTTACAAAGCCCAAAATCAACATTTAATTTACTTTTCTCTAATGAGAAGACGAAATAAGTGCAGACTAAGAAGACATGTGGGAAAGGAAATACAGAGAGGTGGAAGCTTCACAATGGCAATATCAATGTTAAATCAGGAGCCATTTTTTGTGGAGGAATGAGAATAGTTTTCCTTTACAGCTACTTCTGGTTGAGGAATTTTAAAAACATCACAACTTTTTGAAAATGAAAGAAAATCCCATAATTTTTTATATAGAACAAATGTAATAATTAATAAAAAGTGAAAACTATTTCACTCAATACAAATCTACCAAAACCCTTATTAAGATCTGAACCACAGAATCAAATGGCAAACTAAGACAACTACGAGAGGGAAAGCCTTCTTTCAAAAACCTCTGCTTCACCTTGAGCTATTATCGCACCAACTCAGTCGACGTCGAAGAAGCCTGAACAATCGATTTAATAAAGCCAAATAGAAAAATCAAAAAAAAAAAGCGTTTATAGAAAAACATTCTAATCGAAAACAACTCACAAACAAAAAGAACACGATCTGTACAAAATTACCGTCGACAAACGAAAATCGACTACCGTATTATGAAGAGATGAACGTAAGCGACGGGCCAAGGGATTACTGACGAAACGAACGAAAGCACCGGGCGAAGGACTTAGGGTTCCTCTTCAGTGGTAGACGGGAATGTGTTTGTGTTATTAATATTGCCTGCTGGGCCACATCACAATAATCTTATAAGATGATTGTTGCAGCCCCTTCATGCGTGCAAAACCCAAAAACAAAAAACAAAACAAATCTACAGCCATCAATAAATCAATCTCTGCGAATTTTTGCTCTCTTCAAGGGAAAGGAAAAATGAGAAGGAAACGGTTAAAGAATTGACCTCGGCCTTCAGGTAATCGATATCAACCTTGAGCTTCTCCTCCGGCCGCAGCGGATCCTTTTTCTTCGTCGTCTTCGTCTTCGTCTTCGTCTTCGCCCTCGTCCCCAAAATTGAGAGAGAGAGAGAGAGAAACCAAATTTTATAGGAGAGACATTTATGATGAAGAGATATGTACTGAACAAACCAGTTAGTGAGCAGTAGCCAAAATCAAGGAATTTCAAGTGTGAAATCAACAACTCACAAATGAACAGTGATCTTGGCATTGCCTCTTTTAATGTAAAGGGAATTATTGGTAGAATTAAAATTTTCATGTTATAATGTTTAATGTGTTTATTTAATTATTGAATGAAAATGTTCGTAGCGATTCGAAACAATAAAATTTGGGTCGTTACAAATCATTTACATGAAACATGAATAGGATACTATAGAAGAGAAAAGGGGAGATCTTGGACACTGCGAAACAGAGATCAGAGATATTATTGATTTGGGAAATGAAGTGCTCAAATATCGGTATGAAAAATTGCAATCCATATGGATACACTGAAATAAAAATAACGTGAGTTATGATGGACTTCATCATAGTTACCTCAGGAAGAAAACCACTGTAATACAGAGCAAACAATGCTGGAAAGATTTTCGTCCTTGCTAGTTCACCAGTAGCCCCAATAACAGCACTGCTAAGAGAGAGAGATCTACCATCCTGATAATTGCTACTAAAGGATTCAGTTTGTCGCAAAGACAGAGGAGATGTCAAGGAAGCCCCAGTTTTTGTGGACTTGTCAAATTGAAAATTGGGTGCAGAAGTTTCTGCACGCTGAATGAAGGAATATGATGGGGATTCTGCAACAACGTTCACTCTGCTGGCATTGGAAGGTTGACAATATGTAGAATTACCTTCTGGCTGTGAACTCGATTTTTTCCCTCCATCATAATCTGCATCGATCTATCAATTGCATCAACAATTTCATTGGCCGCGTATCTTTTAAAAAAAGGAACTTGATAGAAAACTACAATCATCAATTTACGTAAGTTAATACTCTATGCCGCTAAAAAAACTCAAAACGATACAAAACATTTCAGTTGTACAATTCATGTTGCTTTAGCTTTGAAAATTGCAAGAAACATGATACAGGTTGTTATAAAGTTTGGTAAATCAAGTTTTCCTTGGTCCATCTAATGAGAAAGGCTCACAAGACAATCGATCACAATCTCATGTGTCATGAAGCCAAGCACTCGTCTTTGTTAAATAATAACCGTTTGATGATATTGTTACTAACCGTTTGATGAAATGGATGCCGGTGATCCTTGGAAAACTCGTCTTTCATGCGATGCTTTTGAATTGTCCAGTTCCTCATCTTTGCTGTGAATTTGCAAAATCTTGAACTCATTTTTCCATTCATGTTTTATGTTAGGCCCATTGAAAGTTCACCTTTTCAAGAAGCCAAAGTTTCAGATGACAAAATTTGCCACAGAGATTCTTAGAACTTCCGTACAGCACAGGACAGCTGTATGCAGTTAGAGTTATAAGATCTGCTACCTACAAAATGCAAACCAGCTATATTATGAGATCTTCTGCTACCTAAAATTTCAAACCAGATATCCAACATGTCTTAGTAGCAAATAAACATTATTTGGCCACAATGAAGCAGTGTTTCACATCAATTTCAAAATGTAAATAATTTATGCGCCAAAATATCATAATGGTCCTGTTCTCTATCGCTGGGAGGAATTGTTATTGGGCAACCATTCCTTTAGCAATGTTAATCCTCGATTAAATTGATTTTTTCTCTCTTCACAGTTCTTCTACTTTTCATTTCTATAATTTTGATCTCAGGCCTATAATTTGCCAAGAAAAAGAAAAGGACATAGGAGCTCCATAAGTCGAATTATGGGATTCACATCAATATTATAGAAATGAAAATTATCTGCTATCACAACTTGTTAATTAATCTTCTAAGATAAAATTCACTTACCAGTAGCACCTTTAACTTCTTGAATTCATACAACGGGCATTATCTCAATCGAGTTTCATAAAAATGTCAAAGATGTGTCTGTTAAAATTATGATTTAACACAAAATTTGAGACGCGTTAGATAAAGACATGTCAAACATTTAACCCAAAACAAATAAACAAATAGCTTCCAAATTCTCAACATCAAGCTACCCAGTACCCAATTTGATCAAGGACATATAACAGAAAAAATCGAAATGGTGATAAACTGAACTGTAAGTAGATAGAGGCACTTACTGCAACTCGAGGAATTGTAGAGATTGTGATTTTCTGATTGTGATAATCCCACACAAGCTAAAGTCTCTTAATTATAATTCAATTACAGCCCCATAAACTAAAAAACTCAGTAGAAACACCAATTTCAACTATTAAACTCAAAATTGAAGATACCTGAGAAATGAATTCATCCAACAATAAATAATCGAATTTGAGATTGTTGTGACTTTTCTTACTCAGATTGTTGGATTTGGCTTCTTCGGATGATGATGATAAACAGTGCAATAGAAAATCACCGCCTTAATTTTTTAGCTTTAGAGATAGAGAAAGGTAAAAAGTATATATAAAGAAGATATTTTGGGTGAAAGCAAACCGGATAGGTGTGAACACGAACCACAAATGAACAGTGATCGCAGAGATCCTCTCTTTTATAGGAAGGTAGAATTGTTAATCCTCGATTAAATTAATTTTTTCTCTCTTCACAGTTCTTCTACTTTTCATTTCTATAATTTTGATCTCAAGCCTATAATTTGCCAAGAAAAAGAAAAGGACATAGGAGCTCCATAAGTCGAATTATGGGATTCACATCAATATTATAGAAATGAAAATTATCTGTAATCACAACTTGTTAATTAATCTTCCAAGATAAAATTCACTTACCAGTAGCACCTTTAACTTCTTGAATTCATACAAAGGGCATTATCTCATTCGAGTTTCATAAAAATGTCAAAGATGTGTCTGTTAAAATTATGATTTAACACAAAATTTGAGACGCGTTAGATAAAGACATGTCAAACATTTAACCCAAAACAAATAAACAAATAGCTTCCAAATTCTCAACATCAAGCTACCCAGTACTCAATTTGATCAAGGACGTATAACAGAAAAAATCGAAATGGTGATAAACTGAACTGTAAGTAGATAGAGGCACTTACTGCAACTCGAGGAATTGTAGAGATTGTGATAATCCCACACAAGCTTAATCGAAATTTTGATAAATTGAACAGTACGTAGATAGAGGCACTTACTGCAACACGACGAATTGCAGAGATTGTGATTTTCGGATTTTGAAGTCTCTTAATTATAATTCAATTACAGCTCCATAAACTAAAAAACTCAGTAGAAACACCAATTTCAACTATTAAACTCAAAATTGAAGATACCTGAGAAATGAATTCACCCAACAATAAATAATCGAATTTGAGATTGTTGTGACTTTTCTTACGCAGATTGTTGGATTTGGCTTCTTCGGATGATGATGATAAACAGTGCAATAGAAAATCACCGCCTTAATTTTTTAGCTTTAGAGATAGATAAAGGTAAAAAGTATATATAAAGAAGATATTTTGGATGAAAGCAAACCGGATAGGTGTGAACACGAACCACAAATGAACAGTGATCGCAGAGATCCTCTCTTTTATAGGAATCCTCCCTTTTATAGGAAGGTAGATATATAAAAGGAATTTAAACTTTTATAAATAGTCAAATTTACCCACTCTGAATATTTATCACGTCTATGCTTGAGCACCATTTTTAGGAAAAACAAGTTTTGTGATAATAATTTTTTTGGAAAATATGTGGTAATAAAGTATTAAAAAAAATTGAATTTACGTGCAAAATATTTTATTGAGAGAATGAATGATTAAAAATGAATTTGGTGATAAATGATTTTTTAGAGAATGAAAGTTTAAACGGGGGCATAACTTTATGTATAGATTTTATTTCGTAGTTAAATTAGACTCCTGTTGAATTTGGGAACAAAATATTAAGTTGTTGTATCTCCTGTGTATGAGATGAAACGTGCAAGATAATTCCGTGAATTCCATAACTGAGTTAATTCTACAAAGTACAAACTCTAACATAAGTCTAAATGTCCTTGTTCGGGCTCTATTTTAAAGAAATTTTGGGGAAAATGTATTTTGTAGTAGTTTTTTTTTTTTTTTTTTGGAGAAAGTGTAGTTAAAATGAATTTTTTTTTTTGAACCAGTAATATTACTTTATTGAAAAATATGTGATTGAAAAGGAAAAAAAATGTATTAAAATCAAAATGGAGCTAGCTCGATATTCAATTATTAGTATAAAGGGTGTGTTTAAGCCACGTTATTTTGGAATAATATATTCTGGAATAGCAGATTGATGGAGAATTTGTGGTTGAAAAAGAAGGAAAAGTTATTGATGTGATGAAAAATATTATTTTATTGAAAAATGTGTGGTTGAAAATGAGCAGAAGAATGAGAATGAAAATTTTAATGTGTACCAAACAGGGGCTAAGTATGAAAAAAATTAGTGAAAATTACGTGAAACCAGATTTTTTAAGTTATCATTTCAAAAATCAAATTTAAAGTTTGTTTTTACAAAATCAGCTGTTAATTCAACATATTAATATTAATAATAATATTTTAAAATTAAATTAATTTATATACTCAATCTACTTCCACCCCCACCAAATTTCATTTCAAAACCATAATTATCTTTTCTCTCTTCTTTCTCTACATCTCCCCCTTCTCTCTTCTTTTTCGTCGCCACATTGAACCACCGTGAAAGTGAGTATCATGCACAACATTGTGTATGCAACTGCAACACTACGTGGATCGCTGTGGCAGCGTCGCTCGGAGAGTGATGACATCATCTCTTGCAGTTCCGAGCGATGCCGCCATCTCTTGCAGCATCTTAGGGTGGTTTCACGTGTCGTGGTTTTCAGTAGAGGCATCGTTATTTTCGACTCTGATTAGATCTGTTTTAGAGTGGTTTTTATGTTTTTGTGGTTTTCAACAATGACGACGTCATCTCCGGCATCTCTTAACTCTTATTAGATCGATTTTGCAGAGATTTTCATGTTGTCGTCGTAGTGGTATGAGGTGCTGATGGTGGTAGTGATGCTACTTGGTGCGGTACTGGTGTTGGTGGTGATGATGCTGCTTGTGGTGGTGGTGGCGGCGGCAACAATCATAGCCACGACTATGATGATTTTGGATTTGATTTTTTGGTGGTGTTTGGGCGGTGATGTCTTGATGTTGGCTGCGACGGAGAGGTTGGTGGCGGTGTTGGTCGGGGAGGGATGTGATGGTTTGGGTAGGGTGGGGTGGGGTGGGGTGGGGTGTGGTGTTTGTGACCAATTATTCGATTGATTGTAATTAATAAATAGTATGTTACTGTTGAAATAGATAATTTGTGACTAATAAATAATGTGAGACTTGAAAATTTGTTAAATTGTGACAAATTAATCTCATATTTTGAGATCGTGAAATAAGTTGTGATCAAGGAAAAACATAAATTTGTGATCGAGAAAAAAGTTGTGACTCGTGACTTAGAAAATTTGTGATATGTGACTGTGACGTCTGTGACCGATACATAATTGTGACCATAAATTATATGATATTGTGACTGTCTACTAAGTTGTAACTTATAATATTTTTGTTTTTGACTGATGAATAAGTTGTAACGTTTCATTTTTTTATTTGTGATCGATGAACAAATTGTGATATATAAAATTTTTGAATTGTGACCGTAAAATAATTCGTGACGTTTCAATTTTTTATTTGTGACCGATGAACAAATTATGACCTATAAAATTTTTGAATCGTGACCTTAAAATAATTTGTGACATGTAAAATTTGTGATTTGTGACAAATTAATAATATGTGACCAATTATATAGAATTTGTGACCAAATTACATCGAATTGTGACCTTAATATATTTAATTAATAAAATATATGTTTAATTAATTAATTTAAAAATATCTGAAATTTGAAATTTTAAACATAAGTTTTTAAATTTGAAATTGGTAAAACTAAATTGCTTATGTATTGTTCACAAAAAATTATAAACAATTATGCGTGGAATTTATGCACCTAACGACCCAATATCACATAAAATATAGGAAAAAATTCATATATAAGATATTAAGTTATTTCAAAATTAAGAAACAAAGTTTATTATTTCAAAAATCAAATATTAATTTATGGGTTACGAATCATAAATTTTAATTGCAAAAATCACCTAACAACAAAATTTATAAAATAATTAATTAAATATATTAAGGTCACAATTCTATACTATTTGATCGTAAGTTATTGAATTAATTTGTCAAAGAAAAAGAAAATAACGTATTTTATTACTTATTGCTAAGGTGTTGCCAAAAGTGTGACCCCACAAAAGGCCATGTTTTAAGCTAACCACATACATGTCCTTTGTATGATGCATTATTTTGAGTCTAATAAATATTGAATCAAGATTTCACTTGGAATTGAATCATATGAAAATACTTTACATGGAAAAAGAGAATTTCTCTCCTCTTTCTCCTCATCCTCATGTAGTAGTTTTTCCATTTCCCGTACACAGCCATGTTCATGTTATGCTAAATCTAGCTGAGATCCTATCCCTTCATGGCTTCCATATTACATTTTTCATCACCGAATATACAAGTAAAAGTTGTTGTTTTACAGAAATTTCTTCTCATTTTGCACGTTATCCCGGTTTTCATTTCCAAACAATTTCAGATGGTTTGCCCTTTGATCATCCAAGAACAGGTGACAGAGTTGTTGAACTGTTTAACTCTATAGACTCTACAACAAAGCCACAATTTAAGGAGATACTGATATCAGGGTGCGTAACTCGTGATGGCAGGCCTCCTATAACTTGCATAATTGCTGATGGAATTATGTGCTTTACGATTGATATTGCAAAGGAATTCCAACTTCCTACCATACTCTTTCGTCCATTTAGTGCAAGTTGCTTTTGGTCTTTATTTTGCGTCCCTAAGCTCATAGATGCTCTCGAGCTTCCATTGAAAGGAGACTACAACATGGACAAATTAGTATCAAATGTGCCAGGAATGGAGGGTTTTCTTAGGCTCCGAGATCTTCCAAGTTTCTGTCGTGCAAATGATCTATCAGATTCTAAACTTCAACATGTTGTGTCTGAGACACATCGTGCTGCCAGCGGCTATGGCCTAATACTGAACACAATCGAAGAACTAGAAGACTTCTCATTAGCCCATATTCGTACTAAATTTCAGAAAGTGTACACAATTGGACCCATACACGCTAGCTTGAAAACAAAGACAACGTTGCAGGTGCGATCATCTAGTGGACTCAAGGAAGAGGAAAGTAAATGCATGGCATGGTTAGATGATCAGGCAATGAAATCTGTAGTTTATGTGAGTTTTGGAAATATGACAGTGTTGGATATGCACCAGTTGATGGAATTTTGGCATGGTTTGGTGAATAGTGGGAAGCCCTTTTTGTTGGTTATTCCAGCTAACCTGATTTCAGAGGAGTTTCAGGTTCCAAGAGTGCATTTTGAGGGCACTGAACAAAAGGGAAAAGCAGTGAATTGGGCACCACAAGAGAAAGCTCTTGCCCACCCGGCCATAGGTGGGTTTTTGACACACAGTGGATGGAATTCTACTCTTGAGAGTATTTGTGAAGGAGTACCAATGATATGTTGGCCATTTTATGCTGATCAGCAAGTGAATAGCAGACTGGTAGGGGAGGTGTGGAAGATTGGACTGGACATGAAAGATACTTGTGACAGAGTCATAGTGGAGAAAATGGTGAAAGAATTGATGGATGTAAGAAGGGAGGAGTTTATGAAATCAGCTAATCAAATGGCAAGATTGGCAAGAAAATCAGTGGGTCGAGGAGGGACATCTTACTGTAATTTGAATCGTTTGATAGAGGATATAAGATCGATGAATTGTTTGATCGAGTATATCCCGAAATTCAACTATTAGCAAAATAAAGTTCAAGTACCGCTTAACAAAATATAACACTTCAGCTCTAATGTTTGAATTCTGAGATATGATTATCTTTATTTCATCTCACAATATACATGAAACACATTATCATACATGCAAGCATAAATCGGAGTCAGGGAGAGACTTAAAACACACAATACCATGCGGAAGTTCTGTAAACCAAATGTGCACAAGGACAAAAATGCCCACAGAGAAAATCATTTGTGCATATATTATTAATGTAGGACATGAACCAAGATAAGTCTCACTATGCTATCAAACAAATTCAAATTGCACAAGAAGCTTCACAGACTTTCACTCATCTCCCTTGCAATTGTGAATTGGAACTGCTCGAATAGAGATGGCAACGGGACGGGTTCGGGACGGGGCACGCCACTCCCCCGCCCCGCCCCGCCTTGCCCCGCCCCACCTTAGACGGGGCGGGGCGGGTTCGGGGTGCGAACTTGTCCTGTTTCCTGCCCCATTTATTTATTTTTATTTTCAAAACCTTCCAATTAACTATTTTATGTTTTTAATTTGTAATTAATTATTATTTTTATTCTTCACGGGGCGGGTTCGGGGCAAGACATCCCCGCCCCGCCCCGCCAACCCATCGGACGGATTTTTTTGCCATCACTATGCTCGAATACCTTGTCGCAGTCTTGATGCCGTTAGGCACGTTTGGCCAGCAAAGCCATCCTTCTCAGATTTGTCATACTCGTGAACTTCAATATGAATTAGGGCTAGTTCTGGAACTATTAATGAATATTCAAAAACTTCATCCCAAGTTGGTATCAGTTGTCCACTAGTGTCTTTGTTTTCTTCATCACAGTATCACTAGGCACTCCGGCAATTCCTACGTGAATATAAATAAGTCTGCAAGCTTTAGCCTCTGTTTGTCAACCATTATTCCAAAAAATTGTTTGTTACAGTAAAATTCTCCAACACACATTCTCCCAATAAAACATTCTATATATAAACCAATAAAGTTGCTTTAATCTTCAACTACACATTCTCCAAAAAATACTATTTATTACTCTATTTTTTTCCCATTAATGGGAGACAAACACACCCTTAGTAATATTAATGTAATACACTTAATACACACTCCATTTGCAATGGCCCTTCACCCGTGAATACAGTCACTTGGTTAATAGCACGGTGTATGGATGAAATGTAAAGAGATTTCAGTCGATTTAGAAATTAATGATGCTGTCCAAAATATATATTAATCCCAAACAAATTCCGAACCTACCTTCAAAGTAGTTACATTGGCCCTGAACATTCCACGTATCCACCAAAGTGATCTTCCAATAACCCTATTAAAGAAAAGATGATATTGGACAATCTACCGTATTGAACTTATAAGGTACAAATGAAAGATTTGTGTAAAGTCCGCAAAAAAAATGAAATGTTTGAATCACAACTGCTCTTATCTCTTATACTTTTCATTTAATGTCACCTTAGTACATCATAAACTGATATTTTATATTTTGTTTGTTAGTTTGGACTTATATGATATTGATTATTGATAACTTGAACTTTCTATGCTTATATTTTTTATTTAAGTATATACTAGTAACTTCTTTATTTTGTTTGTTAGTTTGGACTTTTATGATTTTGATTATTGATAACTTGAACTTGCTATGCTTATATTTTTTATTTAAGTATATACTAGTAACTTCTGGATATGATGCAAGTCTGAAAATTTAAGTAATAATTTATAATAGTACTAGAACCAGACCAAATCGAACCAGAACCAAGAGGTTCGGTTCGGTTCCGCATCGTAAAAAAAACCATTTGGTTCCATTTTCAAAAAAAATCATTGATTTTTGATTCGATGCGGTTCACTTGGAACCAAAACTAAATGGAATCACGTCCACCCCTACATCTAGCATATGTGTCTTAAAGCAATTATAGGAATTCTTCTTGTAATTGACAAAAACACTTTCTTAGTAAAAGAGTGTAACGT